GGCCCGAACCCACAAACCGCAAGATCATGACCTGAGCTGAAGTCACACGCTCAACGGACTGGGCCACCCAGGCGTCCCTCCAGAGCCCCTTTCTAATTTGTCACCCACACCTGTCTCTCCCTGGCCTGTTGGCCCCAGTCAGGGCTGCTCTGTTCTCCCTCTTCCCTCTCTGTCTCTCTCTTCTCCGTGTCCCGTCCATCTGCTATTCTGTGGGCTCCACCTTCAGAATACCAGGACTCTGCCCACTGCTCTGCCCAGGTCATCCTCTCCACCCCTCCTTGGTCTCCCTGCTCAAACACTGAGAGTGACTGACAAAGTTAACCCAAGCTTTTCAACCCAAGCAACAAGGCCTCCCAGGGTTTGCCTCACTGCACTCTTCAACCTTCTGTCCTCCCCTCCCCCCACAGGCCTCCTTGCTGCCAACTCACCAGGCAAAGTGCAGCCTCAGGGCCTTTGCACACACTGTACCTTTTGACAGACCTTTCTATAGACATTCCCACAGCTTCCTCCTTCTCTTTGGGCTTTTGCCAGAGTCTCTCTCGCTCCTTGCCTTCCCTGACCTCCTCCCCATTTGAAACTGAAAGTCTCCCACGTTGCTTAGCGTGGTCTACCTTTTCTTCCATAGCATTGTCACCTTGTAACATTATCGTCTGTTGTGCTCACCGTTTCTGTCCTGTGTCTCCCTGGAACGTCTGTCTCTGTGAACGTATCGCTCAATGAGAAGCTCCTGATGGGCCTCCACTGGGGCGAGCGCTGAGCTGGGGGCAGGGGTGGATGCGCAGTGGGGGTTGCGGGGAGACACAGGTGGGAGCACCTCATGAGCCCAGGAGCTATGCCAGGCTCCTTCCAAGCACAGCCGTCCCTTTAGACTCTCACCTAACCCTCTAAAACGGGGACACTTTATTTCCATTGCACAGAAGGGAACACCAAGGCTCATGGGCATTAACTTGGACGCGGCCCGCAGCACCTGGATGCATATTTACAAAGGGCCTACAAAGTTGCTCGGCCCTCTCTGGGAAGCGAGGAGACCGCTGCCTCCGTCCGGCCTCAGTTTCCCCTCCCGTAGCTCGCCTCCGCCTCCCACGATTCGAAATCCAACTCACAGAGACCAGCGTTGAGCGGAAACCACAACTCCCGAGAGGCCCTGCGGCCAAAGCCACGCGAGAACTGCCGAGGCGAGAGTGGGCGGTTCCGTTCGCACGCCTCTCGCGCAGCCAACCGCCGCTCTCTGAAGGCCCGGGCTGCCCTTGGCGCTGCCGCTCCCGAAGGTGTCTGGATTCAGGCGTTCGCTGTCGACAGCCCTCCACGAGACGGACTGGGGGCTTGACAATGGCTCGGCGCAGGCGCAGTCGGCGAGGGTACTGCCGGGCTGGGGCGCGTTGACGCGGAGCGGCGGCGGCCATGGACGACGAGGAGGAGACGTACCGGCTGTGGAAGATCCGCAAGACCATCATGCAGGTGAGCCTGCTCGGCTAACGCGGCGAGGTCGGACCAGGACGAGGTCCCTGCGGCGCGCAGCGGGGCCGGGGCGCGTGGAGGACGGAGGGGCCGACGGCCTGTGGCCGAGCCGGGAGTCCGGCGGTCCCGGGGCGGGGAGGAGGGGGTCTCCCTCGAGCTGGAGAGAGACGGCGGACCCCTGTTCTCCCATTTGGGCCTGTTCCTGGAAGGCTTGGGCTCTAGCCCGGGTGCCTGACAGAATCCCAGAATCGGGGCTTGGGGGGAGCCCTGCTGGTCAGTGAGGGCGTCTGACTGATGTTTCTGTTCGGCGGCTACTTCACGGCCTCGGCCGCCACCTTTGAGCTCCTCGCGTTGTTCGGGACAACTAACAGCGACAGTCTGGCTGAGCGTTCACTGCAAGGCGTGCGGTTTAGCCGCCCGGTGGGAGGGGACCCGTGCGATCCCAGGCCTGGGAGAAATCCCGCCGGAACTAAGCCCAGGCGGCCGCATTCAGCCTCTTCTTACCGCTTTGCAAAGCTGCTCTATGGCAGGGACCAGAGCAGCCGTGCCCAGGGGCTGCGCTGGGGGCCCTGCAGGCTGTGGAGGGACAATCAGGCCAGGGGTCTCATGGAGAAAAGGGGTGGGCGCAGGGCTGGGTAGCATCTCTGACCTTCCCTCTCTCCGTCTGGATCCTCTTCACCCACTGGAGGAGCCCTGGCCAGCCCAGCAGTGCCCCTCCCACCCAGACCCCAGGGCCGTAGCTCTGCGCCACCGCTTCCCGGTCACGGCCTGTCCCCGAGGCTCAGGATAAGGTGACAGTTGCGTGTGTGGCAGCTGGTTGTCTGGAGCAGCGCAGGGGCTCTCTTGGGGTGTGCCCTGGCCTGTGTCCCCACCTGCCCATTTCCGTCTGACGTCTACACGCACCTGTCGCATCAGGCCCCCAAACCCCGTGTCCTTCTCTGCAGTGGCCTCATCTGGCCCGAGCTCTTCCCGCCAGCTCTCTCTGCCCTGAGGTCACTGGGCTAGCCCGCTCTCTCTGCAGCTCTGCCATGACCGTGGCTACCTGGTGACCCAGGATGAGCTGGACCAGACACTGGAAGAGTTCAAGGCCCAGTTTGGGGACAAGCCGAGTGAAGGGCGGCCACGGCGCACAGACCTCACGGTGCTGGTGGCCCACAACGACGACCCCACTGACCAGATGTTCGTCTTCTTTCCAGGTGAGGGCCGTGCTGGTCCTGGGCTGTGTGTGTCCTGGGGGTCACGGTCCTAGTAGAGCCATCGGGGGGCCTGCTCGGGGGTCACATGGTAGCAGCTGCATGCTGTGTGACCAGTGTCTACACTGACCCTTTTTATTCTTCCCAGCCTGGAAAGAGAGCACACACCCCCCCCCCCGCCCGCCCCCCCCACCCTTTCACTGCAGACGATGACATTGATCTCTGACTTCTCTGAGCACTTTTTCCAGCTTCCTTCTCCTCGATCCCCTTCCCCAGTTTTTCTTCCTCGGCTGTGTTCTCCACCAGGATCGTCACAGGCCTCCCAGGGGGGCCCCCAGACCCCTCATGACCTGAGACTCACCTGGGTCCTGTCTGGCCCCCACCCATCAGCCCAGCCTCCAGTCTCCAAGCCTCCCGTTCCCTGCAGCCCCTTCCTGTGCTGCTGCAGGGTTCTGGCCCCGTCCCGGGCCCCGTCCATGCCCCTCACCGAGCTCGGGTGCCACCTCCTCCAGGTCGAGCGAAGAGCCCACCAAGGGGTGTCCCGGGCCCCCTGTGTCCCTCTGTCTTAGCACCTGCTCCACTGAGGCAGCCCGACTCTAAGGCCCATAAGGGTCGGGAGGCCGTGTTGTGGGGTGAGCACTTGGGGGCCCAGCCCACTGCCTGGAATCAAGGGGGGTGGCACACGTTTACAGAATGGACCCAGTTGGTGCTTTGACAGGAAGCGTCCCCGTGTGTGAGGCGTGGTTATTGGAGGCATTGGTGCTTAACCACCTGCGTCCCTGTGGCGCTGTCTCAGCCTCCTGAGAGTGGGGCGTCCGTGTTCTCCTGTGGGCCATAGCTCAGGACTGGGGTTCCTGCCGTGTTAGCCCACACAGCACCCCCGACCTGGCGGCTTGAGCGTCCGCGACCGCTCCGCTCCCAGCGCCGGAGGCACGAAGTCTGACGCCGGGTATCAGCAGGGCTGGTGGTCTGTGAGGTGTCTCCTGGCGTGTGGGTGGCCGCCTTCTCCCTGTGTCCTCACACGGCCGCTTGCTCTTTGCGTCTCTGTCTTCGTGTCCTAGAAGGACAGCAGTTGGTTGGATTGGGGTCTGCCCCGATGACCTCGCGTAAATTTAGCGTTGTTTCCAAGTGCAGTCACGTTTGAGGTATTGGGGGTTGGGACTCTAACGTAAGGGCTCGGGGGGGGACACGACTCAGCCCACGATACTGCCCGTCGGTGGAGCGAGGGTCTCAGGAGGGTGCCATGATGGAGCAGCGGGCAGGGGCCTGGCCGGGAGCCCCACGTGGGTCCTGGCACCAGGGGCTGCCCGTCTGCTGGGCTGCCGGAGTCCAGAGGTCCCACAGTGCCAGGCTCTGGGCCTGTGCGCCGTGGTGACCCGGCACCCCACCGGCAGTGCAGGGACGGGAGGTAGTCTCCGTGGTGGGACGTCGGGCTCCCGTAGACCAGACGAAGCACTTGATGTGGGCGTTCCCAAACCCTGGAACCACTGAGGCCCCGGACCACATGAGTCCCAGATCCTCCTTCCAGGAAGGGGTCCAGTAAGTCCGGGGTGCCAGGCCCCTTTCAGCTCCCCAGGTGACGTGGAGGCGGCCAGCCCCCTGCTCTGGGAGCCAGCAGCCAGGTTCCTGTCGTGCGTGTGGGGAAGCTGAGGCCTCAGAGAGAAGGGGCCGTTCCGGAGTGGCACAGGGACCCCTCGGCAAGGCAGAGCTAGCACCCGGGTGCCCGAGAGGGCGAGGGAGCTGGGCCCGCACGGCGAGAGGGGCCCCGGCAGTGCAGACCGCCGTGCGTTCTGTCTGCAGAGGAGCCTAAGGTCGGCATCAAGACCATCAAGGTGTACTGCCAGCGGATGCAGGAAGAGAACATCACCCGCGCCCTCATCGTGGTGCAGCAGGGCATGACCCCCTCCGCCAAGCAGGTGGGTGGGGGCCCCGCCGCCTCTCCTTCGGCCCTGAGCACCTCGCTTCCCTTCCTGCCGCAGCTCCTCACGGGGCCCTTCGCCCATCCCGAGGGGACCCCCGGGGACTGGGATCTGAGGAGGAGCGGTTGTCCCTCGCTGAGGGGCAGGGCCAGAGTGGCGGGGCGGTCGGGACGGGACGGAGGACCAGTAAGCACTCTCGTCCTGTGCTTGGGGGCTGCAGGGCACTCCCAGCCCCATCGGCTCGAGGACGAGCCCCGGGAGCGTTTTGTCAGATGGAAACACGCGAGCATCACCTGGTTGTCACCGTGACACCAGGCCGAGGCCCCTGTTGGGTGGGCGGGCTCTCCCTTTGGAGGAGCCCGGCTGCCTGGTGGTGGGTTTTGCTGAATTGCAGCGCTTGGCGGTTTATTGGGGTGTGAAAGCAAACCCTCTCTGGCTTCCCGCCCCCCCGCCAGCCTCCAGGGAGCGAACGGTGGGGTGGTCCTGGCTCTTGGCTGTGCCTGAGGGCGGTCTCTCTTCCAGTCGCTGGTTGACATGGCCCCCAAGTACGTCCTGGAGCAGTTTTTGCAACAGGAGCTGCTCATCAACATCACAGAACACGAGGTGGGGGCCTCAGGTGGGGGCTGTGGGGGATGGGCCCTCCTCCCCAGCGGGGGCTAGCGAGGGATGAAGGGAGGCTGGGAAGGCAGTGCCGGGCCCCACAGTCCCTCACCCGCTGGGGGATGGCAGAGATGTGGGCGTTTGCCTGAGAGTAGGAAGGCAGTGGGGACGCGTCCCCGGGGCTGGATGCTCCCGCTTTGGGGAGAGCCGGTCTGGTGATGGAAGTAGGGCAGGGGTCCCTGAGTGTGGTCCTGGACGGGCCGCGGCAACATCACCTGGGAACTCAACCAGGAATGCAGAAACCCAGGCTTGCTTGGCCTGCACAGTCCGGAAGCCCCGGGGGGTGGGGGCGGGACCCCAGGGCTGATCTGCAGGAGGCGCAGTCTGGGGAACCCTGTCCACATGTGGAGGCGGGATCAGGATGGGGCTGCGCCAGGACATCTGTAAACCCCGGCCCCTCT